CATGCATTTAAGGGTGAAGCCGCGAGCCCTTTCTCCAGCCGAAGCACGCGGACATATCGTAGTTGCATCCATTTGCGATTGTCGGGCGCACATCGCACGGTTCGGTGGCGCAATGTTGCGTGCTCGATGAAAAGCCTCGAATACCCGCCAGCCCCGGTGCGTGAATTGCGCTTAAAACGATTTCCTCCCTCGCCTCGTTTCACGGTTCGTACGTTCTAGTAACGCGCACGAGTAACGGTTAAGCCAGCGAACGACACAATTTAAGAGGAAGACGCTCTACTTTTTGCTAATCGCAGCCTTAATCGCCTTCCCCATGCCGATCCGACAATTTTCGAGAGAATTTGTTGTTAAATGTCTTCTTTCCACGTTCAACTAGCTTTTAACCTGTCAAATGGGTTGCTTCCTGATTAGAAGCTCCCCTGAATTGCACGGCGGGAAAATGAATGACGAAGAATGAGCCTGAAATCTTCCGAATTCATTCTTTCGTAAACATGACATAACCTCGATTATCGCACATCGAAGTGGTCTAATTGATCAAATTGAAACTAGAAAGTCAAAATTAATCATGGTAGATGGTACTTTAACCGTTCTGCATTCTAAATATCGTACAGGGGATGATTCTGATACATACGTGGCAAATTATTATTCTTGCGTACATTAACACTTTAAGTTTATGAAGGCCCATGCAACAGCTGTATAGTTTCCGTAGTTTTTTCAAATACGAATAAATTCGATGATGTGCGAAATTATTTTAGGAACGTGATATAACAATTTTTAGTGGTGCTCGAAGTCATCGCTCGAGTGCAAAGGGTTAATTTAAGCAACGGTGGTTAGTGAACGATGCTAGTTGGACGACGCTTTTTGATACACTAGGTCAAGTTGCAACCGGAGCTTCCTCTCGATGAAGAGAATAACTTTTTACTAAGAAGAGAGTAAACTTTTACAAGATTCCGATTTTCATCGACAATTCGTGAGAAACTTGGCACGAAGATCCGCAGCGTGCTTCCCATCTTCCATATTATAGGTCCACCGGAAAGTTCTGTCCGTTCTTGAATTGAAATATAACACAATTTTCATACATTTAATAATATTTATTGTAGAATATACTTTCCATCGTTACTTGTGACTTCTTGCCAGCGTGTGTACATTTAAAAGAAAATGGTTTGTGTGTCAACCTTGACACGCAGTAATCAGAACGTCCGCAGTATTTGACTCGCAGTAATAGATACATAACCGCAGCAATATATGCACAGGATACAGTTTCTTTATTACATTATGCTTTTTAATGAAATTTGTGCTTTCAGAGATCCAATATCTTGAGAAAAGTGAATATTCAAGTTAAAGAGAGTAATATTAGGTCTACCGAAAAGTTCTGTCCGCTTTTTGAATTGAAATATAACAATTTTCATACATTTAATAATATTTATTGTAGAATATACTTTCATATATATATTAGAATATACTTTGAATATTAGAATCTACTTTGAATATTAGAATATAGAGTTTGAATATTAGAATCTAGAATTTGAATATTAGAATATACTTTGAATATTAGAA